ACACACACACACACACACACACACACACACACACACACACACACACAAACCTGAAGCTATCTTGTATTAGTAACTTAGTGGGACACCTGAAAGCTCTACAACAGGAAGAAATAACACCAAAAGAGAAAAGACAGCAAGAAATAGTCGACCTCAGGACTGAAATCAATGAAACAGAGGAAAAAAAATCAATAAAAACAATACAAAAATCATGAAATAAAGAGTTGCTTCTTAGACAAAATAGAAGATTGACAAACCATTAGCTAAATTAACTGAAAGATGGAGGAAGACGGTCCAAATACGTAGAATTCATTGCTATAAAGAAACAAAGAGGAAACTGGAATGGGAGAGTTAAATAGGGATGGGAATGCAAGAGAAGGGTAGAAGGAGGGCATATGAGAGAAATAGCTAACATCAAAGTCACCTAAAAATCATAGGGAAACATACTACTGTTCCTAAAAGATATTAATATAGAAAAGGAATCAAAATGGAGTCATCAAATAATAAGGAAGACGATGCTCCAACAAGATATCTTATATCACCAAGTAAAATCTCCAGTGCCAGGAATGAGCTACATCCTGTTGAGCTGTTGACTGAAGGAGCTCATGGACGCCCAAGCCTCACAGGCTCTTTCCAAGGTTACTGGTTGCTCTGCACAAACTGATGGGCGGCCCTTTGACGAAGGTAACAGTTGATAACAGAAGATAACAGAAAAGTCACGTTGCTACCTAACTAGAAGGAAGCTTCATGCCTACTGATTAGTACTCATGGTACTAGAAGGTACTCGGCATGCATGGTACCAGAGGAGAAATTAGTTATCAACCCAGCTACAAAGCCTGTGATCTACAACAGTGATGTGTCTGCAAGATAAATGGGTACATCAGTGGCACAAACATTATGGAAGTAATCAACCACTTTCTTGGCTTTAAGGCCTGCTCTATGAGCTGGAACCTGGGCCTGACACTGCTTAAGTGGAGAAGAGCCTACAACTAGATAGGAAATGGGCCCAGGGGAGAGCCAAATACTATTAGTATGTTAAAGGAACAGAGCAATAAAATGACTTTAAATGGCATTCTTCTATACCCACTTATCAGTGCCTCACTCAGTCCTCATCACACACACACACACACACACACACACACACACACACACCCTGCTCAGGCAGGATGGGCTTATACAAAACCAATTCAATGCTATTTTTATAGAGTTTTTGTCGCATTTGGCTTTGCTTGCACATTGTTTTTGTCTCATTGGTCTTCCTAGTCTATTACTGATTTCTGGTCTGGGGGGAGCGCTGTGTGTTTGTTGTTGAGAGAAAGAGAGAGAATAAAGTTAAGAGAACAGAGTAGTGGGGAGAAGGGGAGAATCTGGAAAGAATTGATGGGTGAGGGAACATGATCAAAATATATTTTATGATGTTTTCAATAAAAAAAGAAAAATCAGAACAGGTTCTTGGTATGTAGCTGAGGCTCACCTCAAATGCATGAGTCTCTTGTCCAGAGTCCAAGTGACAGGGTTCAGGAGTACATTATCTGGTGGCATTCATATACGCTATATTTATTTTTTCCAACCTGTCTTTTTGTGTTCTGGAGATTGTACCCAGAGCCTTGGTATGCTTGGCAGGTGCAGGCTGAGCAAGTGGATAAATAACGGGAACCTAAAGTTTAACACGGTTTCCCACCTGATGACTTGCCTTAGCTGGTTTCTCTGCTTTCCCCTGCGGCCTGTTTAGACCATCTGCCAACTCACAAAAGATGAAGCGTTCTTGTTTAAAAGGAAGTCAGATCAGGTCGTTTTCTAACCTTCTAATGGCTTCTCAGTGTTACTCAGAAAAACCTAAATCCTTAATTAAATTACAAAAAAATGTGTAGTTGTATGTGTTTATGTGTGTCAATATAGGTGCCCTCAGAGAGCAGAGGCATCCAATCCCCTGGGTTTGGAGCTCCAGGCTCTATTGAGTGCCTGAAGTTGGTGCTGAGAATGAACTTGGGTCTTCCACAAAAGCAGTATATACAAAATCACTGAACCACCTATCTACCCCAAAGCTGATTAACTTCTGCTGTATATCTATCAGATAATGATTAGAAACAGAAATATTCTTTATGACAGATACTCAAATTCCTTTTTGTTTGTTCTGTCTTGTTTTTGTTTTTCAGCACAGGGTTTCTCAGTTTAACAGTTCTGGCTGTCCTGGAGCTCACTCTGGAGACCAGGCCTCAAACTAACAGGGATCCGCCTGCCTCCGTCTCCCAAGTGCTTTGAGTAAAGGGTATGGCACCACTGCCCACTTCAAATCTATTTTTATTATGTAGGGCAAAACTGTCATAATATTTTTTTTAATTTGACACAAATTCTCCATACACCCTTGTCCAACTTGGACCCAGATATCCACACCAGATTGGCCTGAGACTCACAAAGATCTGACTGCCTCTACCTCTGCTTCTGCCCCCTCCATGTTAGGAGTGGAGGTATTGCATCACCATTACTGGCTTTTTTTAAAAAGCTTTACAATACTACATTTTCAAAAATATTTCTCATTGACACAAAAACCCCATTTTCTCTTACTTTTTCTGAGTACCATTTAAGACAAAATAATTCTTACTGTAATAAATAATAAGCACCAATGTTGAGGATATATTAATGCAGTTGTAGTTGTGTTTTATTATTCTGCAACTTAAGTACAAACTTTGGTTGATTGCCAGTTGGACTAGAATTTGAGAGTATAGATACTACTATATTATTAGAGTAATTACCTAGCATATAGAAGGCTTTAGGTTCAATCTTCAGCACAGCACCATACACACACATGCTCATACGAACACATACACACACGCACATATACATGCACACACACACACAAACATACATAAAACACATACATACACATATATGCATACACACACATATGCATACCAATTAACACTATTATATTGTAAAGGAACATGAAGTCGTCCCAAAAGGTAAGTGTTTATTTTTTTGAAACTATCAGAGTTAGATTATATGTTTATACTTACTTTGTGATGTAAGAGTAAGAGTGTAGAAATTGTTTCCATTACTTGAAATGGTAAGACCGCTAGATAAACAAGGGCTGTCACTTATTTCCTCTATCCCAAAAGGTTCGAGTATTTCTGCGACAACTGAAGTATCGAATCCCAAAGGAGAACTGGTGTGTTTATATACTTTTCTGATGTAAGCATTTCCAGATTTACTAAAAACAAAGCAACAAACATAAAAAGAATGGATATCCCAGTGGCTTAAATAAGCAGGCATATTAACATAATTTAGAAATAAAATATACCAATAGTAGGATTGATAATAGTAATAAACCATCTAACAAATGACTATCTGGACAACAGTTGTTCAGACTTTTTAGCTGTCAACACAATTTTGCTCACTATCGTCTTTTTAGTGTTGGGGATCAAACCTAGAACTTCATGAATGTCAGGCAAATGCTCTACCTGCAAGTCATAACCCCATCTACAAGAGATGACACTTGACTGAAAATAGATGTACACTCACTACTGGTGTGATTGAAAATTAAGACAAGTTTCCTAAAAAGCAATTTGACACTTCATATTTGAATAAAAAATTTGAAATGAGGACATGGCTGCTCCTAGGTATGCTGGAGAAGAAGGTTTGTTATAGATAAAAGAATAGCCAGGGGCATCTAGAAGGGTACAGAATGGCCATTAAAGGAGGGAGTGGGGAGAGAGATAAGAGGGAGAGAGCAAAGAGAATAAGGTAAGGTAGAGAGGGTTCATGATACCAACACTGGGGAGACAGATTTAGGAACACACACACACAGCACAAGAGAGAATGGGACACACACACACACACACACACACAGATGAGCAGATGGAAAGTAAGCACAAAAAAGTAATCACACATCATCAGGGAACTGGAAATTAAAAAAAAAAAAAACACAAATAACAAAACCCCAAATGCTAGAAGGATATGAAAAAATTTTAACTTATTGCTGTTGGGAATGAAGAAAAGTATGGGAAGTTAGGTAGTTTGTTTTAACTCAAATATATTCTTATCATATGCAATATTCCTAGGTATTTTCTTTTTTTAATTCATTTTTAAAATTTTAATTCTTTATTAATTACACTTAATTCACTTTGTATCCCCCCTGTGGTTCCCTCCCTCCTCCCATCCCAATCCCTCCCTTCCTCCACCCTCTGCATGCATGCCTCTCCCCAAATCCACTGATAGGGGAGGTCTTCTTTTCCTTCTTTCTGATCCCTAGGTATTTTCTGTGAGTTCAAAAAATATGTCTATACCAAAATCTGCATGTGGATTCTAATAGCACTTTTTTATTAGGAGCACCTGAAATGTCTTTCAGTTGATGAATAGGTTGAGGCTGGGAGATGCGCAGCATTTAAAAGCAATAGCTGCTTTTCTAGAGGACCTGGCTTGATTCCCAATGTTGGCCTTCCTGCTGGCATGGGAAAAGGTCCTGGGACTCAGGAGCTCAGGAAACCCACAACTTCACAAGCCAGGAACCACACAGCTCTGAGGTGGGACAGTGTCTCTAGGGACAGGGTATCCTGAGACACGGAAACCCAGGAACCACACGGCTCTGAGAGGAGGCCTCCTCAACAGAGACTTTACAGCTCCCAGGGAGGGGTTACCCCCACCCCTGATGAAAAGAGAGGCCATCACCTTGACTGATCAGTGGTCCACAGCAGCGGCGCTACAGTGAAGATACTTCTGTAGGCTGGAAGGCCACCCCAAGCCGCAGAGGCTGCCCAAGCAGTCCCAATGTCCCCAAGCTCTGGGAACCCCTCCCCACATAGTGGTGGTGAATCACAGCGACCCACTGACCGCTGCTCTCATGGCCCACTGCGCGCGCGCGCGCGCACACACACACACACACACACACACACACACAAACACACACATAAAGAGATCCGTCTAGCCCTGGAGCAGCAGGCCACCCCTTCCCACCTCAGGGCAGTCAGTCCCTCCTTCCTGCCTAGAGCTGTGGAGGAAGGAGACAAAATGGCAACTCCTGCCTCAGCTAACTGCTATGGGAACCAGACACTGTTCCTGGCTCAGAATGCCTATCGCCACGGCCGTGAGAGCGGCATGAGGCTGCCATGGCGACATGTCACCATGGTGAGGACAGCCGTCCCTGCTTCAGCCTACTGGCTTCACAATTTTGGATTTTTTTTTTTATAGTTTATAATCCCTCAAGGCAGAAAGGTGGGCAGACCCATGCCTAATTCGGGAGCTCCAGCAGCCCCCCGCTCCTCCTCTCACCCTCAAACCTCTGTGCTGTCATCTCCAGCACCTCAGTAGAACTAATCTCACATTATGCAATTTTGAGGTGAAAAGTCTGAACAAGGAAACCCACCAATCCCTGAGCTCCCCAAGCTCAAGACTTAAACTCCCACCAATCCGCACTATGGAAGTCCCTACCCTAGAAAGCTCCACCCTCTAAGAAATCCTATATAAGGGCTGTCTGTGCCCAGTTCCCTGCTTCCTCCCAGGAGCAGTGGCAGCCACTCCTGGATCCAGCACTCCTCTCCTGTATCTGTCCGTCTAATAAATCTAAGAGATTTACTGCCTGCTGCGAGGCTCTTGTTGGAAGAAGAGAAGAAAGAAGAAACAAAGGAGTGGAGCTCAGGTTCCTAGGCTCCTCAGCTCACCAGGAGTTGGGGCAACCTTCCCCTGGGAGCCAAAACATCTCTGCTGAGGAGGCCTCCTCTCAGAGCTGTATGGTTCCTGAGCCCCCATGTCTCAGAAAACACTGGGAAACTGTCCCACCTCAGATCTAGGATAGCTTCCCAGCCCTCACACTTGTGAGTTTTCTGGACACCTTCTCACCAGATCAAAAAGGCAGGTCCACAGCAACTAACAAGAAAACAGTAACATTTGGTACCATGTCTCAGATTTGTGGCCTTGGAGTTGTGGGTTTCCTGGACACCCTTCCATACAAGTACTAGAAGGCAAGCCAAAATAACAAAAACACATAGTGGCACATGCCTGTTCCTTTAGCGCTTATGCGGCTGAGGCAGCAGAACTGAAGGTTTGGACCACATAGTAATTTCCTATCTCAAAGAAGTGAACGCTGCCACAAATCATGAACGCTGGGTGAAGTTGGGCCTGTATAGGTTGCCAGTTGTAACAAGCGTAGAGCTCTGGGGCTCTGTGGACAGTGGGGGAAACAAGAGCGGTGGGGGGAAACAAGAGCGGTGGGGGAGTAAATGAGAACTTTCTGTTCTTTCTCCTTGATTTTGTTGTAAAGCTCTAATTAAGCTTTAAAAACCCACAGTTCATTAATGTTAAGAAGGTAAGCTCTTTGTGTCTGAAGTCACTGGCCATGGCCAGAAGCCCACTCAGTTACCAAACCTGCCCCCCAACTCCTCCCAGTTGGAGTCTCAAAGTGTCAAGAATTGCTTTTAGGTGATCAAGTACTGTGTGGTGCTAGGGGAGGAGAGAAATAAACCTTAAAAGAAGAAAGAAGGGGACTAGGCTGACAAAAGACGGGCTTACATTTAGGGGTCTGTGTTCTGGAGGTAGAGAGGACTAACTGTTCAGAGGACAGACCCAGGGTAAAGATAACTGCCATCAATGAGCAGGGCAGCCCTGGAGGCTTCCATCCAACAGCTGCTCCGACTCTGGCTCTCTCTATCCTCTCTGTCCCACACGAGTGAAATCGCTTTCACCCAGGTCACTCTGCTCCAGAGTGCCTTCAAATCCAAAGTGACCTCTCGGTCCTTATTTTAGCTTCTCTCCAAGCACTGGAGTGCTTTCCGAGGTACCCTCTGTTTTGGGTTTAGATGACTCCATCCTTCTAGGTTTTTGTACCCTTGACTGCTCATGTTCAAACTTCACTCCGGGGCCCAATCTCTGTTCCTATGCCTCTTCTCTCTTTACACAATCTCCTGCAGTAGAGTCACC